GACTCTTCATGTTGTTACCGTTAGGACTTAGCATAAATAGAACTCCCCTCAGCTAGCAAGGGAGAGGACACACTGTATTTTCTATACTGAGACAAAAGCAATACAACTATTGTTACTCTCTCTTATAACGTTATTATAGTGTTATTATTACCGGTAACATTATTACCGTCAATATGAATTATATATAGTAGCATGGAATCAATTAGTATGACAATTATATTAGATAATATAATTAATAATTTACTTTTTAAATTATATCTCATTTTTAATAATGAATATTTTCTTAAAGTACATACATATACTATGGTTATCATTATAAAATTAAAAGTATATATATATATATATATATATATATATATATATATATATATATATATATATATATATATATATATATATATATATATATATATATATATATATATAGTGAAAGGTTCCAGTGCGGTTGAGTGCTTCCCGTGCGTTTGATTAATGTGTGTGAGCTTTGTACTTAATGTGCGTGAGTCTTGTGCTTAATGTGCCTGAGCTTTGTACTTAATGTGCGTGAGTGTTGTAATGTTAATGTGCGTGAGTTTTGTATTTAATGTACTGAGTCTTGTGTTTAATGTACCTGAGATTTGTACTTAATGTGCGTGAGTGTGTAATGTTAATGTGCTTCTGTTGCTCCTGTACATATACGTCTTCGTCTTCTCTTCCTCTCTTTTCCCTTAATCCTCTCTTCATCTCTCTCTGTTCTTCTTCATATACGTCTTCGTCTTCTCTTCCTATTCCCTTAAATCCTCTCTTCCCCTCTCTCTGTTCTTCATCATATACGTCTTCGTCTATGTCTTCGTCTTCTTTTCCTATTCCCTTAATCCTCTCTTCCCCTCTCTTTGTTCTTCATAATATACGTCTTCGTCATCGTCTGACTTTTGTGCTTAATGTGTGCGAGTTTGTGGTCTGAATGTATTTTGTTTATATCTTCATGTGCGATTGTGTTAAAAGTCACGCACATTAAGAACAAACCTCTCGCACATTAAGTACAATACTCAGACACATTAAGAACAAAACTCACGCACATTAAGTACAAATCTCAGGCACATTAAGCACAATACTCACGCACATTAAGTATAAAACTCACGAACATTAATCAACCGCACAGGAAGCCACAAATGCACCTGATCTCTTCCATATATATATATATATATATATATATATATATATATATATATATATATATATATATATATATATATATATATATATATATATATATATATATATATATATATATATATATACACACACACACACACACACACACACACACACACACACACACTTAATGTATAATATTATTAGTAAAAATTAAATTAGACTTGCCTTAATAATTAATTATTAATAGTATTTCCTAATAATTATATATTGTTACCTTTTTCGATGTAATTATTATGGTAATTTATATATACATATGCATTTTTATACTTAATGTATAATATTATTGGCATGAAATAAATTATACTTACCTCAATATATAATTAATTTTTAATATAATTTCCTTATTTTTATTAAAGGTAATTATTCTGATAATTTTTCTTTCATTCTTTTGTGTAATTATTATGGTAATGTATTTAAATATTGGAGTTTTAAATATAATTTCCTTATTTTTATTAAAGGTAATTCTTCTGATAATTTTTCTTTCATTTTTTTTTGTGTAATTGTTATGGTAATGTATTTTAATATTGGAAGAGATTAGAACAAATATTATAATTAATATAATTAATATCATTAATGAAATTATTATGGTAATTGCCACAATATTTGGTAATTATAATTAATATAATTAATGAAATTGAGAAATATAATATTTCTTCCATAGAAATATTTGTGACAATTACATTAAATTACAATTAATAAAATATAAAATATAATTAAAAAATGCAATTATTAAATTAACTAAACATGAATATTTCTAATTTTTAAAATATACATATATACACTTATGCACTATAATAATCATGCAAAATTTAAATGCTACTTTTTAAATTTTTAAATGTAATTATTTAATTATAAATCTATCCAAATAAATTATAATTAATGAAATTATATTATAGAACTTTTCTATATACATATTAATAAATATTATGTGTATATATAATGAATTATACAATCATATAAAGAAATGCGTCAGATTAGAGTTTAAATTTTTTTTTGAATGTTACTGGCCCTATCACATTGTAGTATCTCTTCATATACTTTCTCAATCTACTGAAACACAAAGAACCAATAATGCCTCCACTGAGGCTCGAACTCGTAACCTTCCAAATGGAAGTTCAACCCGGGTACCATTAGACCACATAGTCTTGGTATTAGAGTTTAAATTTATTCATACAAAATTTAGAATTTACATTTTTTTTATAAAACTAATCAAATGCTAATGTTAATAATAATAATAATAATAATAATAATAATAATAATAATAATAATTTTAAATTCAGAATTATAAATTAAGTATTAGGGTAATAATTAATCTATATTATTATTATTATTATTATTATTATTATTATTATTATTATTATTATTATATAAAAACAAAATCATTCCTTTTCAAAAAAAAAAATCATCCTATTTCATTTTCCCGCCCAAACTTTTTAGTAAAGCTTATTTGGTAAGTAAATGTCAAGTGGAAATTAAATAGAATTTATTAATTGGTAATATTGCATAATTGGTAATATTATGTATGGTATTATATTCTATAATATAATTGATAATATTATTGTTCAAGTATAATAAAAATCCTGTGTAATAATGTAATAATAATAAAATAAAATTAAAATTAAAATAATAATAATAATAATAATAATAATAATAATAATAGTAATAATAATAATAATAATAACAACAACAACAACAATAACAACAACAATAATAATAATTCAAACAAAACTATATACAAAATAAAATTAAAATTAAAAAAAAAATAGGAAGAAGATAAAGGTGGCTCCCATTTGTAAATGATGTGGGATCATTTTGATCCCACATTGAAATTTGGAAAGAGGAGATCTTAAGCTCCTCTATATAAGAGGTGCATTTACAAACATATAATTACTTCTTGCCCATCAATGTGGGCAAGTATTGAGAAATCCAAAGACTTTTTTTTTTATTTTTTTATTTTAGTACTATTGACCAGACAAATTATGCTGTGGATTTGTGTCCACCTTGCAACTGTAGATTTGTGTCCACCTTGCAATGTAGACATGGTTCAAAAATTGTTAATAATTATAAAGAGTAAATTTTAATTTTGGTCCACTAACTATTGTAATTGTGTTAATTGCAACACTTGACTTTCAAAACATAATTATCACATACAAACACACATATATCCAAACTCTAATACTTGGATGGGAACAAGTACCTTGATGAATCTCGTATAAAAAAACACACACAATTTAAATATACATACATATATAATAAAGTAGTTTCTAGATTATTATGAGTCCAATGAAACATAATGTACCTCAAAGTCATGTCTAACCACTACAAAAATAAAAATAAATGCATCTCGTATAAGTTATTAGAATCTACGCTGAAAACACATTTACCATTATTAGTACGTTTTCTAGATACTATAAATTATTATAGTTTTAAAAAAATAACACTTTGTTGTTATAAGTGACTTTATTTTGTTTTCAAAAAAGTGACTTTATTTATTTATTTATTTATTTTTGGGTAAACGGAGTTTAGGATCACTTTAAACCAATGCAAGATGATTGAAAATCAATTTTCAAATTTTACTTAGTTAAGGCTTCCACCATCACCGTAAGGGCAAAGCACATAGTGTCGATATTAGATATTCAACTGTATTTAGCTTTGACTATTTCGATAGTTACTTAGATACAGTTTTATGGTATTTAGTGTTTGTTTCTTAAACTGTCACAATATCATTTAATATCGATTATAACTGAATCTAGATATCAAATAAGTCGACGCTAGTAACCCAAGTTTTTTGTAGTGAACCTAGATAGCTATTAGAAAATGGATCTACTTAGTTGTGATGATGAAGAAAACTCTAGCAAGGAAAAAGCATAGGGAAAGATTAGAAGTAAAGACAGGACAGTGATGAATTACTAGCTTAGGATGCGACACTATGCAATTTAATTTTATTGCAAAATACATTTTTCCTTTCCAAAGAAAACAAAAGAAGAATCTCGAATTATATATATACAAAAATACAAGACATGATCGAGGAAAAGACTAAGAGATGTTGAAGATTCAATTCTAGAATGCAGACGATGATGAATAACTAGAATAATGAAGCTTCAATATAGGTATGTAACCCCTCGGAGTATCCCATAAAGTGGACAAGAATCACATTTACAGACATTAGGGGGTGCCATTTTAGCGGTTCGTTTATATTACTATAAAATGGGGAAAAAACCTAAGATTGTATGTTACTAGTATGGTTTTTAGTTGTTCAAGAAATTCGTTAGGATGAAACACTTATTATTGCCCCAAAATCTATTCTTTATACTTTCCTAACCATCAGTATTATATTTTGATGACAATATGCTGGATTTGACTCACCAAGTCACTACCCAACAATCCAATCCCCTCCCAACATCTGCCAACCTCAAATGTACAATGACATGCAAAACATTCAAAAGCATGACATACTCTGATACCAGTTATCCGATCAAACACTTATTATTACGCCAAAAACTATAACTAATAGTAAATTTGTAATTTTATTTCTTTATACTTGTAGTCAGTCAAGTTTCAATGGCGGGAAGCTGCAGCCCAACAAACTTAGACAGAAATGAACAACAATCCAATGAAGATAATGTTATTGAAGCAAAAGAGTAACAAATCTCTAGACTTCCCCAGAACTAACATACCTCTTATTCTCTAGCTACCAAAAACATGTTTCTTAACTCTTCATTCCCAGAACATTCATCCTTTTTATATGTATATATATTAGCAGAATATACTAACGTTGTTGTGTTGTGGCTTGAAGATTTACTTTACTGGTATTTGTGACGTCGTCCTAAACGGAGTTCCAAATCCACCTCAGTATCCTCCTCGTCAGATTCTTCCTTTCTCCCTTCATCCTCGTCGTCTTCCACGTTTGAAGGACCCACTCTCAGGCTAAGATCATTAGCACCCATGAAATCTCCGTACCTCCTCGTATGATGATAATAAACTTGTTGGTAGCTAGGGTTTGACGGCGGCGAGTAATTAAACTGGTGGTAACTTACATGCGGCGCCGCCCTTGTATCTGAATAAGAATAACAGTGGTGTTGCTGCTTTGTTGAATGAGATTGTTCTTGATGATGATGATGATGATGAGAGATGTTGTTCTGCTTATTGGCGGCCTTCAACCTGTCCTTTCTATGAATGTTCATGTGGCCGCCGAGAGCCTGAGGGTTAGTGAAGCCTCGCTTGCAGAAAGCGCACTCGTACGGCAGGCCGACACCCAGGTTGTCTTCCGGCCGGTGGTCGGAATCCTCGCTCGACGACGTGTCGGAGGTGTTGCCGGCGTACTTGTCGACTTCCATGTTGAGATGCTGCAGCCTGCGGCGCTCCTACAAGGAATGGAGTGGATATAATTTCTAGGTTGAATTGGCCATAGGATAAAAACAAGACATTTTAACACTTTGTCAATGTACTTTTTTAGTATGTCAGACCAACTCATGATTATGCCATCAACTCTTCAAAGTTGTTTGAGAGGTTTATGTTTGGGAAAAATCCCACAATGAAAATCATAACCACGGAACACCACCAACTAAATATTCCACTATAAAGTTTTAGGTTACCACACAAAAAAAATTCAAATACACTAATTCTAGACCAAAATTTCTATTATGTTCAACAGGCCTAAAAAAGTTATCCAAAGATGCATGGAACAAATAAACTGACATCTCAAAAGTATTTGATTAAAAATACATGGCAAACCCACAACAAAAACTAAGCAAAATAATCTTCACTGTTGTCTGCATACGTCGAAGAAGAAGGTGGGGAAAGAACAATTATTTCACCCACACCAACTGCCTCCCTCCGTGTGTCTGGTGTCCAAGTCATTCCATCCATAATCCCTCCATATATATATATATATATATATATATATATATATATATATATATATATTGGTGAAGAGAAACAAGAAAAAGGAAAATTGAGTTCCTTTTCCCATTGGAAACTGCCTCCTCATCAACATTCCATAATTCCTAATAACTAACATAACATATATGTATATATAAATAGGAATGAAATAAAAAGGAAGTTTGTTTCCCTTTTACAATTTAGGCAAAAACACTACTGCCGCCTCCAATTTCCTTTCTACCTTCATAATCCCTAAATTTTATTATTATTATTAATTATTAATATAATAATAATAATAATTAGGGCTTGAGTAGAGGTTCAACAAAAATATATCTACAAATATATATATATATATATATATATATATATATATATATATATATATATATATATATATATATATATATATATATATATATACATCTACATCTACATCTACAATACATATACAATTCTAATAAGAGTCAATAATGTTAGGCCTTAACTGGAACAAAAAATGTCAGCCCTTTTGTTTCTTAAAATGAATGGTTCATATTATACTATTGTTTCTTAAAATGAATGGTTCATATTATTTTTGTTTTAGTATTTTTTTATTGATTTTTCTTATTTACCCTCTATTATATTATTTTCTTTCCTTAAATAACCTAAATTCCGTTAGCATAAACTTTAGTAACGAAATATTCCGTTAAGTATTTATTATTTTAAACTTACACATTAATTTCTATAAGAAAAGTCTTAGTTTCGAACCACATCCCAATTAGAGTTGGCATAATTGTTAAACATATACTACGAATATGTTAAAATATATTTAAAATATCTACTATATCTACTATCTATCTCTATTATACTAATAAGAGCCTAAGAGAGTTAGGCCTATAATGGGTAGAAAAAATGGCGGTCACAGATTTTAATCAAATGTATGGCTCAGATTGATTAAAAGATTTATCAGATTTAAATTTCACACTAAAATTTCCTAAAATACCCACACATCGTTACTAATTCCGTTAAAATTTTAAGAATTGTCGTTAGTTCACCGTTAACTTACTCATTGATTTCAATAAAAAAAGGTCTTAGGTTCGAACCTCATCTTAATCAAAGTTGGCATAATTAGTACTCTATTTTACTCTTATTAAATTATATAAATAATAATTTAGTAGTTACAACGAAAAATAATACATATGCATTTCTTTAATTTAGAATTATGTGTCCACAATGTCTTTATTCAAAAAAAAAAATTATTCATTATCAATAAATTAAATAAGAGAAATAATTTTATTAGTTATATTGTCTTTATTTTTCTTCAATATAAAAATTCTTTATATTCAAATTTATTAATTGATTATATTCGCTACATTATCCTTACAATGTCTTTATTCAGTGAAAAAAAATTATTAATTATCAATAAATTAATTAAAAGAAATATTTTCATTAGTTATATTGTTTTTATTTTTCTCAAATGTAAAAATTTTTACATTCAAATTCATCAATTGATTATATTCACTACGTTATCTATTATCTTTTTTGTGCACTATTTTTCTAATTAAATATCAAAGTTATAATACAAAATAATGCTATATATTTATTTACGAAGTATTTTATTAATACCATGAAAAAATTAAAAAAAAAATATAATTAATAAAGCCAACCATATTAACTACTTGAGAGATTTTGTGACAAAGAGAGTATTCAAATCACACAACAAATTGAAGTGAGAACTACCTCGCAATGTCCTTGTTTGACAATCAGCAGTTAGCGGTTAGCGTTAGCGGATTTGACCAGCGAATTTATTTAATTATTAACATTGGGTAGAAAAAATGACCGCACAAATTATTAAATCAAATGAATGGTTCATATTGTTCAGGTTTTAATTTTTTTCTTTTAAGATTTTATAATTTATCCTTAATTATATGATTATCCATTTAACTTTTCCGTTAATTCACCGTTAGTCTAATTCTAATATTAAAGTCGAATATAGAATTATAACTACACCATTAATCTAATTCTAATATTAAAGTCTTAATAGAACTTAACCACAAATCCTAATGTCGGAATCTCCTCAAACAATATTAGTATATATTTAATATTTTATGCCCTAATTTTTATTTGTTTTCCCTTATGTCCCGTATTTGGTTTCAACCATACCTATACAATTATTTTATTGACAATTATAATCAATCTTGATTATATTATCTTGCATTTGTAAACTTAGAATTATCTATTTAACCCGCACGGGCTTAGCTCAATGATTTAGTGGGTAGTATTTGGGAGAAGAGACCAAGGTTTGAACCTCGGCAGCGGCAGTGCGGGAATTATGTCCAAAGTGGGCAGATTCCTTGTGCGTATCAGCATTTGGCCCTGTCTGCTGAACCATTGAGTCACCGTGATTTACAACTTCCCACAATGCTCTGTCGGGTCGGAGTTCTATGCATGAACAATTTCAATATAATCCTGCCTTAATATACTTTAAAGTACTTATTTAAAAAAAATACATTGGGCATTATCCCAATCGCGCAATGCGCGTAAAAAACCAGTATATAATATAAAATTTAACATAAACTTTGTTCAAATAATTAGTCTGACTAAATACATAATATTCAAAGTTAAGCATCAAAGATTATAAATCAAGAACTTTAAAAATCATTTGATCAGAAAAAAACTTAATATTCTTTTGATTATTTAGATCAGAAAAAAACTTAATATTTCAATTATACTTTTGCATTAATATTTTTTGTATATATTTTTTTTTAAAAAAAAATCAATGATTGCATTATTGTTGATGAAAAGTATATACGCCACTTTATTACTCTTATTAAACTAAAAAATAAAGTAGTAGCTACAACAAAAAATAATACATATGCATTTAATTAATTTAGAATTAGAAGTCTATAATGCCTTTATTTTAAAAAATATATTCATTATAAAAATTTTAAAAATAGATAAAATTTCATTAGTTATATTATCTATATTTTTTACAATTCAAAGATTCATTACCTTCAAATTTATCAATTTATTATATTCACTGCATTGTCCATTGTCTTCTTTTTACATTATCTTGTAATTAAATATCAAAGTTATAATACAAAATACATTATATATATTTATTTACCAAGTATTTTATACAAATATAATAAATATTAATATTTTGTTCAATACTTTCATATGATAACCTACGACACACATCTCACAATGCATGAAACATGTAGGGGAAAACTACCACTACCAAATATCGATTAGAAAATTCAATAAATATTATCTTACATTTATATATTTTGAATTACCGATTTAAATAAACAAATTCAATATTTATTTACATATGCATGAACATCTCCGATATAATATTGCGTTGATATACTTTGAAATACTTATTTAAATATAATCATTGGGCATTATTCCATTCGCGCAAAGCGCGTAAAAAAACTAGTACAAATCTAATAAGAGCCAATAATGTTGCCCTTAACTGGAACAAAAAAAATGTCGGTACCTAAATTCCGTTAGTATAAACTTTAGTAACGGAATATTCTATTAACTATTTATTATTCTTAACATACTTATTAATTTCTATAAAAAGGTCTTAGGTTCAAACCCCATCCCAATTAGAGTTAACATAATTGTTAAACATATATTACGAATATGTTAAAACGTAATAAAATTTAACATAAACTTTGGTCAAATAATTAGCCCGACTAAATACATAGCATTCAAAGTTGAGCATCAAAGATTATAAATCATGAAGTTAAAAAATCATTTGATTTTCTTGCATTTAAAAAAAATTAGGTTAAGTTTTTTTTTTTCAATTATGCTTTTTCCATTATTGGAATGATTTAGGTCATTATGGTAGTAATATTTTTTGTATGTATTTTTATAATGGTATAATTGTACATTACTCTACAAATATTATGCTATTATTTTTTTTTATCTGACAAAATTGTTCTTACATCATTGTCCGACCTGCGCGACCTAACTATAAAGTTGTTGATCATAAATACAATTACATATGGACTCTAAAACGGTACGACCATTTTTCAAAGAATTGACAATGTTGACATCACATTGACCCCAATTGAATAAGTTTACACATCAAAATATTATCAATGCATGAAAACTTCTAAAGAAACTTGTAAGTTAATTTAATTTTTACTATATCATTATAACAATATCTATTGTGACCATATATTTTGAATTATTTATTAGCAATTGTAGCAATTGTCATCTCTCAAAACAATTTATCTCAACAATGAATGGAAATTAAAAAAAAAATCAATGATTTCATTATTGTTGATGAAAAGTATGTAGGCCACTTTATTACTCTTATTAAATTAAATAAATTAGTAGCTACAACAAAAAATTAATAGATATATGCATTTAATTAATTTAGAATTAGATGTCTATAATGTCTTTATTTAAAAAAAAATATTCATTATAACAAATTTGAAAAGAGATATAATTTCATTAGTTA